GAGAGAGAGAGAGAGAGAGAGAGAGAGAATCTTCCATCTACTATTACTCCCCAAATGCCCCAGGCAGGGTTGTGCCAGACTGAAGGCTAGGAGGCCACAATTCAATCCAGGCCTCCACGTAGCTGGCAGAGACCCAAATACTTAAGCCATTACCTGCTACCTCCCATGGCATACATTAGTAAGAAGTTGGGGGTTGGAAGTGGAGGTGCTGGGGTTCAAACAGGCACTGTGATATGGGATGTGGGTGTCCCAAGCAATGTCTTAACTGCTGCACCAATTATATCTTAATGGTTAACAGTAAATGATGCCCTGGATATTGTTAATCTATTCTGAACCATGAAGTGTATTGAAAACAATGTTTGGTATATGATTTGAAGTAACAGAATAAAGAAATAAGAAGGTAATTCTGAGATTGAGACCTGAATTAATATATATATTTTGGGGGAAGCTGTCAAAATCACCCAGAACCCCAACATTACATAGGCCTACTAATAGTTTCTTTCCTAAATATAAATTGTTGTTATTGAGGTAATATGCTATTTGTTAATCTAATTTTTATGAGTCTTTTCTAGTAAATTTGAGAAGACTAATAGAAACTGTTAGAGAAGTGAGACAATAGATTCTACGAAGCTTTCTAGGCAAAGAAACAGGCACGAAAACTTTTTTTGAATATATTGATACTGCTGATCTATTTGCAATGTATTTTCATCAAAGAAACATCATAGGTCCCTTAGAACCTGGTAACATAAGTTAGCAGATATTTTTGAACAATTTATTAGGGATCTAACAATGCGCACTGCTTGTCTGTACTTGCATCTTGCTAGGAAGAAATCTTAATTTTTTTTATATAAGGTAAAAGAAAAAATCCACTGAAAGGCAAAACATAGACATCTGAGAATTTATGACTCCAAAGAATAATTTCAGAAAAGGCCTTCTGATGATGATATCTCTCTCCAAGAAACTAGGACAAGATGAGGGGTTTTGAAATTTCTAGTAACTGATATTACCTGATGTAAATGAAATTACATGGTCTTTTGAAACAAAATACATCTCCTATATCTATTTTATCAACATTATTATACCTAGTAGATTTAGACTTTGTTTTTTAACTGTGGAGTAGATATATCACATTCTATATTTTCAGTTTCCTCATACATGAAATATTATAGCATAGTTTTTAGGGCACTCTGAAGTATCTTACAAAAAGGTACTTGATAATTCAGAAACTACATTGTACAACTAATATTCTATATATTATATTATACTGTTTTGTTCTTTGTATTACCATTAAAATCTCATTATTTCTATTGGAAATTAGGAACATTAGGAAAATAAATAAAAATAGATATGCAAGGATAATAGTAGAAAATAGTTGTCTCCAGAAAAATATCCATGTAACTTCTGAAATGTAACTAACATGTTTATTAATGTACCAGCTTAATAAGAATTCAGGCAAGATTTTTCATGACTTATAATCACTGGTAACCCAGCGATGACTACATGATGACCAAAAGAGGTGAAAAACTGATCACTGCAATACTTATGGATCATTTGACAGTTTTCTAGACTATATGACATCATTAGAGACCTGCTAGTTGAAAAAGGAATGAGTTCATGATTCTTCAACAGTTTCCTGAAAGACCACAGTGTGGTAAGTATACAGCAGAGGTGTTTAGTATTGATCTCGGCAGGCCATATTCAGACTATCCACATATTTCTACCTTCACCTGTCACCAGAAGCATAGTTTGCTTATCTGACTGAACTATCATCTTAAAGCCATTATTGCTTTCTTTTGAAAAAAATATTTATTTATTTGAAAGAGAGAGAGAGAGAGAGAGAATGAATAAATCTTCGATCTGCTGGTTCACTCCTCAAATGGCTGCAATGGACAGGACTGGGTGAGACTAAAGCCAGAAGCCAGGAGCTCCATCCAGGTCTCCTACATGGATGCAGGGGCCCAAGTACCTGGGCCATCTTCCACTGCCTTCGCAGGTGCATTAGCAAGGAGCTGGATCAGAAATTGAGCAGCCAGAACTCGAACTGGTATCCAGGTGGGGTGCTGGCAGCACAGGCAGTAGTTCAAATGGCTAATCCAGGCCCACCACTATTGCTTTCTAAAGCTATTTAGAATTGTTTAAAATCTTAAGCATTCACCAGATAAACCATAGTATAGTTTTGGGTGCTATCAATTATGTAAACCCATTTCTTCAGGCATAAGTTTAGCAAGTATCAGTGATTACAAAGAATCTATTATGATTCAAGAAATTTTATTAGTAATATATATTACTTTTTAAAAATAGCATTTTTATATATTACACAAATCTAGGGAAACCACCATTTTGCATCAAACCAGAGTGAAAAGGATTCATGATAAAATATATGAAATTGTATAGGTTTGTAAGATGCTACTGTCTTTCCCAACATCTTCCAATTTTCTATTATGACTATCAAAGAAGTTATTAAAAACAGGACCCATGAAGAATCTAAAAGCAGAATGTGAGGAACATAAACTGAAAATACATAATTTCATAATTATTACTTATTTCATTTTGAATCAAACAATCTGAAATGAATGAGATAGACACAGTGAGGACAATCAAGTCAATTTTTAAAAGGTATGTATGTATTTATTTATTTACTTATGTATTTATTTATTTATTTATTTATTTCAGAGGCAGAAAGAGTGACAGAGAGATAGAGAGACAAAGAAACAGAGAGGAAGAGCTCCTGTCTTCTATCTTCTGGTTCATTTCCCAAATGTTCACAATAGCTGGAGCTGGTACAGGCCAAAGCCAGGAGCCTGGAACTCAGTGCAAGTCTCCTGCCTGGGTAGGAGGAACCCAACCACTTGATTCCATTGCCTGCTGTCTCTCACAGTGCACATTAGCAGGAAACAGGAAATAAGAACAGAACCAGGACTTGAACCCAGTCACTCAGATACCTCTAAGTGTACCTCCTAAGTGGTAACTTTACTTAAATGCCAAGTGCCTGACCCCATTTTTAAATTAATTTATTCATGAAAGATTAAAAAATCTGTTCAGAGATCAGAACTGATCATCTAAATTATCTAATATGAAAACATATAGGTGGAATTTAAATCCAATTTTCAATAGAAAATTAAAATGTAGATTAACTATTTTACTTGTGAAGAAAGAAATGAGCGACACATAGATAAAAATAATCTAAAAAAATCCCTAATGTCATTTGATCATGAATTCTAATTTACTAACCAATAAGTATATACAAAGGCTGTGATTAAAGTCTGACTTATTTACACACGAAGGGTAGAACAATCTAAGGATAAAGGAAACTGGAACCATACAGAAAAACAGAAGACCCTTACAATAATCAAACACCAAAGTTGTATTGAAAGTTCAACCAAGAAGTCCTTTAAAAATCACTTATTTTGTACTAGACCCAAGAAGAATAATTAGTATAGGACAGTGATGTATTGCTTAGTCTGAACTACTTTAAAACTTAATTCTTGGGGCCAGCACTGTGGTGCAGTGGGATAAGCTACTGCCTGCAACTCTGGCATCCCATATGGGCGCTAGTTTGAGTCCTGGCTGCTCTACTTCTGATGTAGCTCCCTTCTAAAGTGCATAGGAAAGCATCAGAATATGGCCCAAGTGCTTGGGACCCTGCAGTCACATGGGAGACTGTGATGAAACTTCTGGATCCTGGCTTTGGTCTGGCTCAGCCCTGGTCTTTGGAACCATTTGGGAAGTAAGCCAGCGGATGGAAGACTTCTCTCTCTCTGCCTCTGCCTCTCCCTCTCTGTAACTCTGTCTCTCAAATTAATAAATCCTTTTTAAAGAAAATTTATTTCTTTAAAAAAATTTATTTGATTCATTTGAGAGGCAGAGTGACAGATACAAAGAAGGAGAGACAGAGAGAGAGAGGTGTTCCATCCGCTGGTTCACTCTCCAGATGGCTGTAATGGTTGGAGCTGGGCCGATCCAAAGCCAGGAGCTTCTTCTGAGTCTCCCATGAGGGTGCAGGGACTCAAGCACTTGGGCTATTTTCACTGCTTTCCCTGACCGTTGGCAAGGAGCTGGATCAGAAGTAGAGCAGCCAGAACTGGAACCGGAGCCCATATGGGATGCCAGCAGGGCAGGTGGAGGCTTAAACTACTATGCCACAGCACTCAACTCTACCAAAAATTATTTTTATTGACATTACTTTTAAAAAGGATTTAAAAAATTATTTACACGAAAATAGGAACCAGGCCTTAATTTAAAGTTATTTTTGCATGTTTTTTGGCAAACAATTTGACATTTTAAAATCCATTTTTTGATTTGACATGCTTATTCTATGTTTCTACTATGAACATGTCCTATACCAGACCTGAAATATTTCTCTATGAAATTTTATACATTTTCTGGTATTGGCCCTTTAATTTTTTAAGGCAGATATAAAGAGTAAATTATGATGCCTACCTTTTTGTTGTTGTTGTTGTGGTTTGTTTTTTTTTTTTTCCAGAGCAATTTTCCTTGTTTCACTACTTGAGCTAATGTCATCTTGTTCCTGCTTGGTTATCATGTTGGAATGTGGGCAGTGGATGAAGCAACTTGAAATGACTCAGTTCTAGCTAGTATGAATTAAAGTAAAGGCACCTAGCCAACTTAAAAATGCCCTTTAGCTCAAAGCTAAGACTACCAGAAAAGAGGATTTGGGGAGGGCTTTTAAATCCACAACACTTCACAAGACAAAATAATGTGGCATCATAAACTCAAAACTTAAAGAATAAATACCTTAGAAGTTATTAAAATCCTACTGCATCTTTTCATAAGAAATTTGAAATTTGTTTATTTTAGAACTACTCAAGCATTTACAAATAGGTATTATACAAATGACATCAGAAATACATATTTAAAAAGCCATATTTAAATTAATAATGTTACTGGATATAAATTACTTTCATAATAATTCCATCTTAACATTTGTGTCATGAAAGAACATATAAAAATGGCTAAACAAAAGGATGAAGACTTCTTACCCCATATTTACATTGGCGGGATGTTGCTCCATACTGGAAACGACATTGCTCATCAGCATCATACACCTGACCTGGAGCCACAGCTGGATAAAGAAAGTCACGCTTGGGAGGCTCATTATCAAGGCAAGTACCACGGCCTGAACTGTTCAACATAAAGGATCAAAGGAAATTAGGTACTCTATGGACTGTTTCAGTCACAATTATGAAACCATGTGTTGAGCTCTTTATTTTAATAACTTGATGCATGAAAACAATACATTCTACCAGGAAATAATCACATGGGAAATAGAATAGCTTTATTGAAACCTGAATAAGAGCTCCAGATTTTTAACACCAAAAACACAATAAAAGCATCTCAGATAATAATGTGAAAATGTCATGTTGGCCTTTAAAAGATTGATTTAAATTAATTTCTGAAGGAAAACAGAACTTCATATTGCTCTAAACGTCTTTTTTTTCCATTGAAAATATAACCACATCTGGTAGTAAAATTAAAAACATGAAATGTGGAAAGTTTTTTAAAAAATTGTGGTTGTAATTCTTAAAGACCTAATTTATATGCTTCCACCTTGGGCAGAACAATAGATGCTGTGGTAAGACATGTCCATAGGTTCTTGAAGTATTTCACTAAAAAATAGGCTGAAAGACAGATGAGGCCAAGATCCAAAATCCTCCTCTCAAGTATATTAGAAGTGTTTAGTCTCTTAAAAATTTCATATTTCATCTAGGGTCATCAGAATTGGAAAAGAGAATGTTCTCCTCTCTATAATTTCTGCTTTTCAAAGTACGCCTGCACTCAAACATAATATTTTAATTCACTGGAACAAATAACATGAAGATCGCCAAAAGCCAGACAGAATACCTTAGTTTAAAGAGTTTTAAACTTTGCTAAATATAATTGTTCATTTTTATTTAGTCAGTGTGCATAAAATAGGACATATGCTTTTTTACTTTCATTTCACATGTGAGTAAGTTAGAATTTTTAAAGAATTCCTATGCCAACATTTAAAAATTTTTTCCAACATTCCTGTTCATTGTGCCAGCACTTGCGTTTTTTTTTTTCCAAATGTTTTCCATCCACTTTGCCAAAGGAAAATAATTTCACAAGTAGAAGTTCTTCAACTGTTATTTAGGAAAGTACAGCTTTTCATTTATAGGTAGGTAAGAAAGAACGATGTGTAAGAGTAGGCTTTATACTCACTTAAAAGTTTCTCATATTCTTAAAATGGAAAAGCTAAGGTATCATAGAAAAATGTATATTTGCATATCCAATAATCAATACCTTTTAAAAATTGAACCATTCTATTGCTAAGGTGATATAGATTCAAAGACCAAAGGGATAGAAGACTCTTTGGTATCCTTTTTCTTTTCATTTACATTCTTCTTAATTTTTTAATCAATAAAATATATTTAGATGAAATATAAACATGGTACTTACAGAAAAATGTAATTAATGGCTATTACAGTTGTCACTTCAGAAAGCTATCCAGTTTTTGTAACAGAATTTCTAAATTTCTTTTTATTTTACTTTTAGAAATTGACATGATAATCAGCAAGAAAATCTGTTTCTAGATGAAATTTTTAAATAGTGAGGCCTGGGGCTGGCATTGTGGCACAGCAGGTTAAGCTGCTGCTTGCAACCTGGCATCCCATATGAAATGACAGTTTGTGGTCTGGCTGCTCCACTTCAAATCCAGCTTCCTGCTAATGTGCCTGGGAAGACAGCAGATGGCCCAACTAAAGGAGACCCAGATGGAGTTCCTAGCTCCTGGTTTCTGCCTGGTCTTGACATGGATGTTACAGCCATTTGGGGAGTAAACAAGTCTCTCTCTCTCTTTCTCTCTCCCTCCCTTTCCTCCCTCCCGTCTCTTCTCTTTTCTTTGTATCTGCCTTTTAAAGAAATAAATAATGGGGCCAGTGGCTGTGGCCTAGTGGGTAAAGCTGCCGCCTGCAGTGCCATCATCCCATATGGGCACCAGTTCAAGTCCCGGATGCTCTTCTTCCAATCCAGCTCTCTGCTATGGCCTGTAAAAGCAGCAGAAGATGGCCCAAGTCCTTAGGCCCCTGCACCCACATGGGAGACCAGAAGAAACTCCTGGCTCCTGGCTTCAGATTGCTGCCGCTCTAGCCGTTGTGGCCATTTGGGGAGTGAACTGGCAGATGGAAGACCTCCCTCTCTCTGCCTCTCCTCCTCTCTCTGTGTAACTCTGACTTTCAAATAAATAAAATAAATCTTAAAAAAAAGAAATAATTGAATCTTTAAAAATAAGTAAATAGTAAAGACTTTTTATGTGATTATATGTAATCTTTGGGCAAATATAATTCTAGTAAATCAGAAATTATATATTAAGGTTAACAACAAAGAGATTATATTTGAATAGTATAAAGGAAAAAGAACTATTTTGATAATATAGATCATTTGTGAGATGACTGAATTAGTAGTTTAATTTCTCAATTTTCCTTCTAAAATACCAGTTTCTCCTCTATCTATAATAAAGTTAAAATATCCTTATGGAAGGAATTAAGTATGCAATAAAAACAAAAAAAGTTAAATACCACTACAAATCAACATAAAATATAAAATTGTATACTTAAGTACTTAAGTACAGTATCCTATTGGCAAAAAATATTTAACAACAGCATTACCAAAAAACTAAAGGATATATTTACCTAAGTAGTTTGTCAACTCAGAATCTTTTTAAAATGATAATATATATTTAAAAAAAAATTGGTTGGCGCCGTGGCTCACTAGGCTAATCCTCCGCCTGCAGCGCCGGTACTCCAGGTTCTAGTCCTGGTTGGGGCACCGGTTCTGTCCTGGTTGCTCCCCTTCCAGTCCAGCTCTCTGCTGTGGCCCGGGAGGGCAGTGGAGGATGGCCCAAGTGTTTGAGCCCTGCACCCTCATGGGAGACCAGGAGGAGGCACCTGGCTCCTGGCTTCGGATTGGCGCAGTGTGCTGGCCGTAGCGGCCATTTGGGGAGTGAACGGAAGGAAGACCTTTCTCTCTGTCTCTTTCTCTTTCACTATCTAACTGCCTGTCCGAAACAATACATACAAGACAGAATCACAACAAAAAAGGGATAATATAATATCAAATTAGTTCTAGGAATACAGAAAATTAACCTAAACACTTAAAGGAAGAATTATGTAGACCCCAGAGAATTTAGAATAGATATAATTGGGACCAGTGTTGTGGCATTGTGGGTAAAGCCACCAGTTGTGGTGCCAGCATCCCATATGGGCACCAGTTCTAGTCCCAACTGTTCCACTTCTGATCCAGCTCCCTGCTAATGTGCTTGGGGAAGCAGCAGAAGATGGCCCAACTGCTTGGGCCCCTGCACCTACATGGGAGCTTCTGGCTCCTGGCTTCTATGGGCCCAGCTTCAGCCGTTGTAGCCATTTGGGGAGTGAATGAGTGGACAGAGATGTCTCTCTCTCTCTCTCTCTGTGTGTGTGTGTGTGTGTGTGTGTGTGTGTGTCTTTCTCTCTGTCTCTGTAACTCTGCCTTTCCAATAAAAAAAAAATAAATCTTTTTTAAAAAAAGAATAGACATAATAAGGAGAAAATTATGTTAAATTGAAAATTGGCTTAACTAAGGAGGAAGCAAGAATAATTATATTCTTATTTCAAGATATTAATGGTCTTCTAATCATGGTTCATATTCTTTAAAACATACTGAATCCAGGGCCTGGCATTGTAGAGTAGCACATTAAGCCAGTGATGCCAGCAACACATATGGGCAATGGTTCTAGTCCTGGTTGCTCCACTTCCCATCCAGTTCCCTGCTAATGCACCTAGGAATAGCTGAAGATAGCCTGAGTACTTGGGTCCTCGCACCCACATGGAAGACCTAAATGACGCTCTGGCTCCTGGCTTTGGCTTGGCCCAACCCTGGCTGGTGTGGCCATTTGGAGAGTGAGCCAGCAGATGGAAGATCTTTCTCTCTGCCTCTCTTTCTCTAAAACTCATTCAGATAAATGAATAAACAAACTATATATATGTATGTATGCATATATATATATATATATATATATATATATATATATGGAATCTGGGGACCACTGCAAAGCCCTTCAGACAACCAGAATACCATGCATTTGAGGGCACCTGTTGCCCAAACCCTTCTGAAAAAGTTCATTACATCAGTATATTTTTATTTAAGTTCTTTAGATTCACCCACTGCTTTGTGCTAATATGGTCTAATTAAATAGCTCCACAATTCTTGTTTTCCTTTTCCAGTATATTTCTGCAGAAGAATAAAACATCATGTGAAATAAAATATAGAAGACAGCCATCTGGATCTATTACAAGGAACCTGTATTTAGGAATATCACATCAACAAACCAACAAAGGCCTTTTGAAATGAGTTTGGCTATATTTATGCAAATTAACAAGGCCTTCTAGTTAAGTTCTTGCAATTCTTATCTGAAGGTTAAAAAACAAAAATGCTCTTTGTATAATATAACAAAAATTTATCTGTAGATTTATCTGTAGATTTTAATTATTATTAATTAATTAACCCTTAGAAAATAATAACCCTGGATATTTTCATGTCTTTTAGTCACCAATTACCATAATGAAACATCTCAGATATAGGTACAAAAGATAGAGGACATGATCAGAGAGGTGCAGACTTAACCCTGGAAGTATTTTCATTATTATTATTATTATTATCTTATTGCTAAGAAAATTCCCAAGTGCTTAACTCCAATTACAGTTTTCATTTTCCTTCCCAGAGATCACTACTACTCTGGTGCTTTATAATAATAATTCCCTTTTTTTCCTTATAATTTTATGCCCCAATTATTCAACTGCCTGGTTTTAGACTTTTTATAAAAGGAATCCTGATGTAGGCTTTCTTTTGTGACTTTTTTTAGCTCTAGTATTATAAATGTGAGATCTGTCTATGGTCATGTACATAACTGTAGCCTGCTAACTTTTATTGTCCTTTAATATTCTACTTAAATTATACCACAATTACTTATGCATTCTTCCATTGATAAACATTTGCATTATTTCTAATTTCTGGCAATTGCAAATTATACTGATTTAAATGTTTTTGTACATGTTTCCTGGTGCAAATGTGTAAATGTTTTCTTGCCATAAAATATTAAATGTGTGCTATTGTTTTATACTTTGTAATTGTCTTATTTTTAACAAAATAGAAATTATAGGGAATTTTTATTTAATCTATGGTTCTAGCTAATTGGCATATAGCCATATAATTCTTATGATATTAAACCTAGTATTATTTTTGCTATTGTCAAAATAATAATAGAAGTGATATTATATTAATCTTCTTGAATTTTGTCATCGATTATCACTTTTAAACATAATTGTTTTATGCCTTGGTGTCATATACAAATTTTTCCGCCCAGAAAAAATAAACTTCACACATTAATAAACTAAATAGTAAAATACTGTTAGTCACCATTTATGGGATACTATTAAAAGTTACTATTGTTAGGTAAAGATAGACTTTTCCTGAGTAAAACTGTATATACAAAAAGTAAAAATGTGATTATTTTCCTAGCAGCATATATTTCACAACTAAAAACCCAAGCCCAGTTAATTCTACAGCAATATAATTATTGAATACACAAACTAATTTGTGCTTCTAAGACAGAAAAAAATATGTATTAGTTTAAGTATATGCTTCTTCCTTGATTATGAAATTCATAGTACATAAAATGGTATTTACATTTCCAGAAATCTTTGCAGCATAATGAGAAAGTCATATTTTGTATATTCTATTTCTACTTTAGAGTGGTCTTATTTACATAGTGTACTCCAGGTTTAGCTAGCAGAATTGCGTGAGGAATACTCCTAGTAGTCATTTTAGGTTTCCTTTCACTAAAACAATTATACTATATAGTATAAATCTTAAGTCTACAGCATAATGGGCCAGTCTGAAAACTAAATTTCCTATATGACTCTGTATATATCTTAACAACAACAACAGCAAGCTAACAATCACATGTCCTAGTTTTTTTTTTTTCCCATAAAGTTATGCGGACACACATAAACTAAAGAACAATGAATCAGGCAGATACCATCTATATGGCTAGTCAAGAGTCTTACCTATTACATTCTCACAAGCTACGTTACCATAAAACTTACAATGTTTTACCTAAGTTTAAAGTATAACAATACAATAATCCATTTAGATAAATGTAAGCCTAAATGTATTATCCTAAGTCACATCTTTTTCTCTCAGTATAACTGGAGAACTTGAAAACAAATGAAATTGAGGCTTCCAAGATACAAATATTGTATGGATAGTAGTTTGCACTTTATATCTGTCATATGTAATTATGACTTAACAAAAACAATGGTTAGAGCAAGGTTCCCAAAACATGTGAGACAAACGGAAGGTGCAGAGACCTGTTTTGCCAAGCTGTTTCTTGGAATCCACATTTTTAAAAGGTCTCCCATCTATAAAGATTGTTTTCCATCTAATAGATTAATGTTGACCTTCAAAGTAATTACTATAGAGAAAATATGAGTGCCTTGGTCATCTTGTCTATCTTATATCCCTTCTTTTGCCGCTCTACTCTCATCTTCTTCACATTCAACCATAACACTGACTCTCTTAATGTGTTCAGCTCCTACCCTTTCTATAAAAATGGCTAGGTACTTTGGATTTAATTTGGAACTGCAGGAAATTTTGCTATGGGCCTTTGACAGTTCAATTTAACAGACTTTAATTTAAGTAATGCAAAAGTTGATTCATAGATCTCCTATAATTGTTGAAAACTATATGAAAATACTCCATACTATCTTTAAGTAGTGGAGAATGTAATGAAAACTGGGCTAAATTAGTTCTGGCTGCCTTTCACTGCCTGGTAAATTAGCCCATAGTCATCGAAGAGTATGAGCTATAATACCAGGTTCATTTTTCTCTATTTTTCTAAATAAATAAGTAAGTCCCGCAGGCAGATAGGAAGAACACTACCTGCAAAGCCGTCGTCGGAAAACATCAGAAGCTGGCATAACACGTCCATTTTAACGGAAATGGGTTCTTTATTATTTAATCAGGACGGCTTCTGGGCGATTCATGAACCACTTATTGAATCACCGAGTTAAAGAAATCTGAAAAAAAATATTGGGAGTTGGTAAACACCATCTCCTGAATGATCAATAGCACCTAGGGTTTCAGAATGACACCAGAGACTATATTCTATTGGCACTCAAAGGCCACGGAATTGTTTTCAGTTGACCATAGTGTGAATCCCTATAAATCATAGAAAGCTCATTGTTAAAATCCACCATAATCTTTGGCTTATACAGTCACTAAGTGGAGAAAGGTATGCATTTTGTTGGCTGGGCTGCAGTTCCTAAACAATTCATCTTTCAAGGTTTCTTTTTCTTGAGAAGAGAAGCTAAAATAAAATGTTATAAACCTTTTTGAGCCAACTATAAAACATAAATGTAACCTCATCCCTGATCAAAATATCATTGAATTTTTAAAAATATCATGCATGGCTGTTAAAGCAATTAAGTTCACTGCCTTAATAAAAAAGAAAAAAGAAACTCAAGAAAGTTACTGTTATGTCTTTGTGCTCCAGTGAACTGACCTTTATAAAGGTCCTGGAGTTTAAAACCCTTTATTACTTGGTCATATTATAATCAGAATTGTTTAGTTTATTATCAAAGTAAGGAGAAAAAGCCAACTTTTCTCCGAGCCTCTGCTCATTGTCTTTCATATTTATCTTCACTAATGGTCTTAATTTTGTGTGCATTCACAAGAGAAATAACTTTTACAAAATACCAGATAAATAAGCCTATTAGAATTGCATTGACACTAATCATACTTACACACACAAAATGCCAAGAAGCAATAAAAATTAAATACTGCTGTTAATTATTTTAATTAATTCAATGGAACATTTCAATGCAATTAGTAACAATTTATATCTCTCTCAACTGCATTTTACCAACAATTTAGGAATTCCCCTTTGGAGTATCTTAAAAGCCTTAATATGGTTTAATCTAGAAAGGATTTGGCAAGAGGCCAATTTTGGTCCTTGTAGTAAGTATACAGATATGGTCTAGCAAATGAGCTGTGCAATGGTCAATGGGATGGAAACAAGATATAAGAAAAAAGAAAACAATACTTTTAAAAAATAAGAGAAAGGCAAGCATCAAAAAGGTTTAAAAATCCAGAACATGTTGAACAGTTTGTCTTTTGATGATAGTAAGATTTCATTATAAAAATATGAGCCAACTTAAAGGAGAAATTCCAGATTTGGCTTGATTTCTGGGGAGAGCAGATATTCAACACTGTTTAAAATTCAGGCAAATTATTTCATTAAAATCATCTTAGAAAATATTACTGATGCTTTCCATTAAAACCACCAAAAGATGTCAAACAAATTCTCTGCAGTCTATTTTTATAGAATTTAATACAGCTTTGGCACTGGGCAAACACAGTGTTATAATTATCTATCACTAAGATTAAAATTTGTTAGGATATATATTATATGATTATTATGAAGAGCTACTTTCTAAAATGAATCGCTAAATTTTCAATTTTATTATTATATTTATTTAAAAAGATCCCATTTGAAATATTTATCTTTAGGTTTTTTGAGTAAAGCTCTGTACTAGGTAATTTCAAAATATCTTATTTGAGGCTTTTAAAAATACATGATTCTGGGGCTGGTTATGGCACAGAGAATTAAGGTGCTGCCTGTGATGCCAGCATCTCTTATTGGAGCACAGGTTCAAATACTAGCTATTCCACTTCTGATCCAGCTCCCTGACAATGCACCTGGGAAAGCAGTGGAAGATGGCTGTCACCCATGTGGGAAACTCAGATGGAGTTCTAGGCTTCTGGCTTCAGTCTTGATTAACTCCAGCCAGTTGCAGCCATTTGAGTAGTGAACCAGTGGGTAGAAGATCCTCTCTCTATTTCTGTCACTCTGCTTTCCAAATAAATTAAAATTATTATTAGTTATTAGTAGATGTAAAGGAAAATTTTAATGAATAATATTATCCTATATAATGTATCTGAATTTTAAAAACTTTACAACATAATCCTATTAATATAAACTTTGAAAAAGCCAATTGTTAAAAAGAATTTCCATTGTTCTATGTATCACTTTTTCAGAATAACGTCTTAACCAAGAAAATAAGGCCACAAAACAGTTAAAGTAACTGTAGAGCAACAGAGCAATGAAACCTTGATACTATTTAAAATAGTAACATTTGCCAATTAATGAATGTTTTATCAAGTGTTTTATATACATCATAGCATCATACAAAATTTTACACAAACCACCTGATGATGTACATATTATGACTTAAACTCAGGTAACAAATTAGCACACTGAAAATCAGAAAAGTTATGTAACATGTCCAAGGTCACACAGAAAGTTATACCCAAGCCTAACAATTTCCAAAGTCCAATGCTGAAGCCCTAATCAGGTGAAATGGAAGAGTATCTCCTTTTCTCAACATAATTATATTTGGGATAATTCATATTCTTCCCATTCAGATAACCAAACTCTTGAAATATAAAGGACAGGAAAAGAAGTTCCCTAACTGTAGAAGAGATGGGTCATTTAATAAATCCTTTTCTGAAAGTGTTCAATACCTGGGTGTTTGTTGTTGTTGTTGTTGTTGTTTGGTACTGTTAGATAAAATTGCATTTCTATAACACTCTGTTTTTTAAACTGACAAAATAAAATTTATAATAACTGAATTAATTTTGGCCTTAGTGCTACTAAATCATATATATAGAAATTCTTTCTAAAATTGATTTCAATTGATTGAACAATTCTAATTACTCATATCATCAGCCTCACTTACGTCCTTGCTACACCTCTTCTCATCTATTCAATAAGATCTATTTGAGTATGAAGGGAAAATTTTGCCATAAGGATATATTAAAACATTTGGGAAACAGCCAGATACCTCACTGGGTCCTATAAAAGTTCCTCATTATGCAAAGTTTGAAGCACTACATAGTAGGCTTCTACCAATGGATTACTTCTGGAACAATTTATCATCACTCTCCAGAGATTACTTACTCTAGAAAGCTGGTGATATAGTCTCTACTGCAGGCAGACCAGGAAAAAGGATTGGTATTTGCAGTAATATGAGCTGCCATAAGTTTTGCTGCTTCATGACCTTTTGTCCCACAAGAATTTCCAATTCCATCATGGTTCATACCAAAACTGTTTTAATGAGAAACATAAAAGACAGAAATAAGAAAAAAATAAAGCAATCTATACCATATTCTTTATTTCCTTATCCAATCATTTATTAGTTTTATCAACATTTGCCTTCCGTTAAGATAGACAGATCCTCTTAAAAAATGTAAGACTGTGGTTAAAGAGACTAATGAATAATTTAATTATACAATATATGTGTAATTCTATTTAAATTTGCCATATATGCTCACATGTTATCACACATGATTACATCTTTTCTTGAGCAATAAAGGAAATATAGAATATTAATCCTCACTTTAACAATTAGCAAAGATAAATGACCTGCTAAAGATCACACAGTAAGTGTTGAAAATGATAGAATCTGCCTTTTAACAAAGGACTATTCTTCTTACCTTCCTATGCCCTTCTGGAAAGGGAGTTATAAAAATATTGTTATAATCCACTGAATTCTAGTTTATAGGGCAAACACGTAAGTCCTTTTACTTACTAATACTGATAAAGGAGCATTAAATACATGCAGTTTTCAATTCCTTACTTTCATCAAATTCACATGAAGTGATCCAATTAACAGCTATTAAAGTCATTTTTGATACAATCACCATGTTTTAATTTATTTGAGAGGCAGGCGAAAGAGAGAAAAAGAGAGAGATTGAGAGAGAGAGAGAGAGAGAGGCCAAGCTGAAGCCAGGAGCTGAGAGCTCATACAGGTCTCCCACATTGGTGGAAGGGAAACAATTGTACTATTACTCATTGTCTTCCAGAATCTGCATTAGTAGGAAATCGGAATCATGAATGAAGGCAAGTACTGAACTCAGGCACTGCAATGTAGGATGTGGATGCCATATGCTCCACGCTAGACACCAACCCCACTATGGTTATATTTTGACAAATAATTCAAAAGAGTTCAAAGAATTGAGTGATATTTCTATAATAAACTCCTTAAATCCATGTCTACTCATTTATATAACAAATTTCCTCAGTAGTCATATCTATAGAAACAAAATATAAAAATAAAATACATGCTGAAATCTTGCCTCATTCTAGCAATATTCTAGCAATATAGAAATAAATGCAGTAGTTGGAAAAAATATATCTAAATAAAAATACATTTTCTGCAAACACTTTACTTTTACATTTATTTGTCATAAAGACAAGGAAATGGAAAAGCCAATTATTTGATTTGATCATTTGTACTGTATGTATGCATTGGAATATTGCAATATATTCCATAAAAATGTACAAGTATTATTATTACATTAACACGAAAACTTTAAAATAATAAAATTTATAATGTGTATATGTTCTTCCAATTATCACTAATAATTATTGTAATATAGTGAATGTTCATTTCAGAAAATTTATGAACACAGGTTATGATTTTTATTATAATTTCAATTTACAAATGTTTTGTTGTAGAAATATATAACAATACTTTTACAGATACATCTATATTTAAAGTACATTAGGATATATACTAAGATAAAATAATGCAATGGAATGAGCATATTGAGTCAAAAGAAGAAAATAAGGATGTAAATTTTGACTATCGAAGAACCAGTTCAGATCTGCTGCAGAAGATAGTTAACTAACATTGACACAAAGTGAAATGGAAGTTTACACTTGACATTCTTGACATCAGCTTCAAAAAGATCTCTCTAATTGGCAGATTAGGTCTTTTACAAAATATACTGTTAAATATATTTCTTTAAAAAAAAAAAAAAGATTCCCTCCTGGATATACTGTAACACCCAAGAGTTTGATACGAGATGTGAAACTCATTAGAGATCAGAGAAAATAAAATAAGATGCCACTTTAAAAACAATTACACTTGTAAAAATTAGAATGTTAGCGGAGACTAAATGTTGGCACTGGTGTAGAGAATCAGCGATCCTTGTGCATCACAGATGTTCTAAGAGCTATTCAGCATTACTTACTTAAGTTAAATGGGTAAATACAATATGACCCAGCAATCCAATTCTTGGATATGTATTTAAGAAACACTCTCAAAGGGAATATTAATAAGAATGCTTATGGCAGAATTACTTTTAACAGTAAGAAGTTAAAGCAACCTAGGTGTCTGTCACTGGAGAATGAATAAATAAACTTTGGCAGATGTATATTACAGAACACTAAGAACTCAGAAAGAACAAATAAGATTGATATCTACACATAATTACAATGAATCAAAAAAAATCAAGAGAAAAAAGGTGTTTAGCACAACATAAGTACACCAAAATGACATACTCTTAGATGACTAATAAGGGTTGAAGAGCTTTTCCAGATTAAACACTAAATAGATACAACCAAATGCAATGGAAACTGGATTAAGGAGAAAAAATGCTATAAATGATATTGCTAGAACAATGGTAAAATTTGCATATAGAATGCATATTACATCATTACAGTATATCAATGCTAAATCTCCAAATTGACGATTTTCCTGTGTTTATATATATAAAAGAATATCCTTTGTTCTTATGAAATATTCAAATATTTAGAGCTAAGGAACATAATGTCTAAAACTTACTCTCAAAGAGTTCAAAAATGTATTTGTACAAGTGCATAAACAGAAAGAAATAAAGTAAATGTTGCAAAATATTAAAATTTTTTGAATCTGGGTGAAGAACACATAATAAAGCTTTCTACAAATCATTCAAAGCTTAATTGAAAATAATTATTTTAACTTAATTGAAACAACTGAAATAATTTCTAACTTGAATAGTAAATACTCATATAAAACAATGGGCAATATTTTACAAGAATATCCATGGATTCAAACGTGCATATTAAATTTCTTAGCAAAGCTGTCTATGGGAGAAGAGAAATTGGAACACAGAAATTTATAAAGATATACAGATATTAAACAAGAAAGGATCTTGCTGGTATTGATACTGATAATGTTGTTGTGCCATGAACTAAGTATAGAAGTACAGATGGATGGGTGGATGGATGGATGGATGGATAGACAGAAAATCAACTCAACTCTCTGCTCTTGAATTTCAAAAATAAACATTAAATTTAAAACAATAAGAATGGAAGTTTGGCAAAACTGGGGCCAACTCCAATGGATAATCTGTAGTAACAAGAGAACTTCACCATGGTTGGTTTTGTGTATTTAGTAAAACATATCAGAATACATAGCTATAGATTCTTATTTGTGGATGATTTTAGGGAAACACACAAACAGAGATGGAGAGATAGAGAGAGAGAGAACTTTCTTGAGCCTCCTGTCATCTTCCACATCTTGCTGTATTTTCCAAGACTACAAGGCCTTTGCTCTTCTACTCAGTTCATTTCAAAGCTTAACTTTGAGATGTGATGTAATACCTCCTCTTGAATAAAGTACAGATTAACTTTTCTTTTCTTAGTTTTTATTTAATGAATACATTTTTTCATAGATATAACTTTAGGAATGTAGTGGTTCTTTCTCCCTTATCCATCCCCCAGCTCCCATCCCACCTGCCTATCCCTCTCCCATCTCCTTCTTCATTATGGTTCATTTTAGTAAGGATTTATATACAGAGCACCAACTCCATGCTAAGCATAGACTTCAACAATTTGCACCCACGCACACACACAACATACAGATTACAGTTTGGGGAGAAAATTTGCAGTTGATTTTCATATATCAATTCATTAGGGACAGAGGTCCTACATGGGGAGCAAGTGCACAGTGACTACTGTTGTTCTTTTAACAATCAACACTTTTTTTATGACATTAGTGATCATTCGAGTCTCTTGCCATGGACTGCTGAGCCTATGGAAGCCTTTTATGACCACAGACTCCATCGGTATTTGGACACGGCCATAAGCAAAGTGGATGTTCTCTCCTCTATGCAGATAAGAGTTTATCCTTCTTTGATGACCCTTTCTTTCTTCTGACGTCTCACAGAGATTGTCCGTGTAGAATATTTTTTGCCACAGAGTCTTGATTTTCCATGCCTGAAATGCTCTCACAGGCCTTTCAGCCCAACCAGGAAGCCTTAAATGTTGATTCTGAGGTCAGAGTGTTATTTACAGCGAATGTCATTCTAGGAGTCTGCTGTGTGGACTATTTCCCATGCTGGTCTTTCCTTCTTTTAATTCTATTATTTTTACCGGGTACTTGATGTTATTTATATCATCCCTTTTAAACTTAGACCAATCTACATGTTGCCTTTAACTTTTTTTTTTAACTTTTATTTAATAAATATAAATTTCCAAAGTACAACTTTTGGATGATAGCAGTTTTTTCCTCCCATAACCTCCCTCCCACCTGCAACCATCCCATCTCCCGCTCCCTCTCCCATCCCATTCACTTCAAGATTCATTTTCAATCATCTTTATATACAGAAGATCAATTTAGTATATACTAAGTAAAGATTTCAACAGTTTGCACCCACATAGAAACACAAAGTGAAAAATACTGTTTGAGTACTAGTTGTTTCGTTAATTCACATAGTACAACACATTAAGGACAGAGATCCACATGGGGAGTAAGTGCACAGTGACTCCTGTTGTTGATTTAACAATTGACACTCTTGTTTATGGTGTTAGTAATCACCTGAGGCTCTTGTTATGAGCTGCCAAGGCTATGGAAGCCTCTTGAGTTTGCCAACTCCAATCTTTTTCATGCAAGGCCATAGTCAAAGTGGAAGTTCTCTCCTCCCTTCAGAGAAAGGTACCTCCTTCTTTGATGGCCCCTTCTTTCTGCTGGAATCTCGCTCACAGAGATCTTTCATTTAGGTCATTTTTTTTTTTGCCACAGTGTCTTGGCTTTCTGTGCCTGCAAAACTCTCATGGGCTTTTTAGCCGGATCCAAATGCCTTAAGGGCTGATTCTGAGGCCAGCGTGCTTTTAGGACAATTACCATGCTATGAAGAAGACATTGATTCTAAAAGTGACAATTTAGCTTCAATAGCTTTCACTTTTGGTGCATTTTTTTTTTTCGCCAATCAGGGAGAACATATGGTGTTTGTCTCTTTGGGACTGGGTCATTTCACTAAGTATGAGGTTTTCCAGCT